TAAAATCGTTCCTTTAATTCCGTAAAATATGTCGAATGTTTTCCGAATACGTAATTGTACATTTAAAAAGTGCAAGGGAGTCGTTACATAACCCGAGAAACATAATTTATGTAGTGATAAATTAAATTTTAGAAAACGAGAGAACTTGAAACGAGAGAATTTGAAAGTATGATTATTGTGATCGATTGGTTCTTTGCATAATATATATGTTCTTAATGTCCTAAATCTTATTCGCGAAGATGTAAGTATATTTACAAATGACAATTCCGATAAAAGAAGAAAGAAGGTAGTCGGTGACGCTACGTATTTGCCAAAGTTATGTTAAAATATATGATAGGGCGAGGGATTTGTTTGTCCGATTCAGTTTTATTAAAAAACACATCTACACACACACACACGCGCGCGCGCGCAAATACACAGCGTTAAATGCGTTCTAAACGAAACTATTAACTTCGCGCTACCATATGCAATATATGATCTTCGATTTTTGCGAAAATCATAATCGGAGTTGTAACTTCAACGTACAAAAGAAAAAAAAAAAAAAAAAGAAAAAAGAAAGAAAAGAACAGACATTACGTATGTCGGAGCCAGATACAGATCTTCATTGTACGGAACTTAATTCGGTCGCGTAACGTTCTTTGAACATCGAAATAAGGAGACAGAAGAAGTCGGCAAAGCTCACTTTATCAAAGAAGTCTAACTGCGCTTGTAGCAGACGCTCGTTCAGGATTTCAGCGTGTGTTACGCGAACAAAAAAATAATGGATGACTATTCCTGTTCCGCCGGCGGAACATGTATCCTGATTTGACATTTTGTTTTTCTCACGATAGGTAATGGCTGAAGATTAGATAATCGAGAGAACGCGTACTCGCGCGTCTTTCCAACTTCAGATATTTTGATCAGAACAGGGAGACAGCAATATTTTTGCTACTCGTTCGTAATTATATATCATCGATGTTAGCAAGCGTGCCGATACTGGCACGCGCGTCAGACGCGTTTGCAATAATGGTCGATTAAAAAAAAAAAGTCCTAATAAGGAGAATGTAATTATTATATCTGATTCCGATCACACGATCGAATCACCAGTCGCCCGACAACGACGATGCAGTTGCGCTTGCGGAAAAAACACATTTCGATATGGTTTGATGAAATTCATTTT